GTCCTTGGTGCTCTCTGAGCTGGGATGTTTTCTTGCAGGCGTTTCATTACCCAACTAGGGAACATCATCAGTGCTAGAAGGGAGAGAGATTTGCAAGGAGGAGGAGAGCGGAAGGAAGAGAAGGACCGCGGGGTCTTTGGTGATCTCTGAGCTTGGTTGTTTTCTTGCAGATGTTTCATTACCCAACTATGGTAGGTAACACCACTAACATTGCTAGCATTAGCAACCAGTGGTGGGTGCTTTTAAAACCAGTACCCTCCGTCTGTTTCCTGATGTTATTTCCTGTTTGGTTCTGCAATGCCATCTGTATCACTAGAACCCAGAATGAATACTTGGCATACATTTGGAAATCAAAAGAGACAGCATGCCATTTAATTATGACAGATTCCTGTGTGTGTGTGTGTGTGTGTAAGTGTGTGTGTGTGTGTTTAAAAAGCGTAAGTCGAGCCAACTGGCTAGCTGAAACTCTGCAAAATATTTTGAGGGGGAAAGAAAGGGAAAGAAAGGCAAGGAAAGACAAAACGCAAGAGTGCTTACTCCTGAAGGCGTTTCTCCAGCACAAGCGCTGAGGTGAGCTTTCTTTGCAGGGTGCTGAGTTCGAGTTCCAGTTCTTTGTTTTTGGATTGTGCTCTGAACAGATCAGAAGTCAAGTCGTTGATGGCAGGAATAATACTAAAGACAAAAAGCCCAGTTAGTCAGGATTTGTGCTTGGTTTGTTTTTTTACATGGAGAGCTGTCATAGTATTTAGCAACTGGTCACGATTAGATTCGGAGGGAGTTTAGATGAGAGGGGCAGCATACGATTCTAATAAATAAACAAACAGGTAGGTAAAAATTTGGAATTCTGCTTGGAATTGAAGGCCTGTGTGGAAACGTACTCAGCCTAAAGAAAACCCCAGCACGGCATCCTCTCTTCCTCATCCTGATCTTCTTCCTCCACCTCTTCCTCCTTCCTACAGGGATAGTGATCCATGGCTCCCCCAGGGGCCTACCTGCCTCCTTCGGTATGTTATGAGAATGTATAAAATCATCCATAATAGCCTTTTCACATTTCAGTCCAATTTGTAACAAGGCTGACTATAGATGCTCCTTGCCCCACAGGATTCAATCAAGGAAAGGATCCAAAACACACACAGAATCACACACACCATACACTGAAAGAAGGAGCGGTTAGCCGCAGCATCCATGTGCGCAGCCATCTTGAAAACCGTTGAAATCATAAACAAATGCTGTACCAGAGGTTATCTAAATTTCAATCAAGTTTTAAAGCTAGCACTGTAGATTTTCAGGTGTTCCACAAACCAGTGTAGAAAAGATTCTGCTCTATAGAGAAGCATAAATGGATGGATGGATGGATGGATGGATGGATGGATGGATGGAAAGACAGATGAGAGATGGATGGATACCGTATAGAGATAGATAGGTAGGTAGGTAGGTAGGCAGGCAGATAAACAGACATGATAGATACAGATGAAAAGACATGATATAGATATAGATGAAAAGATGTGATAGATAGATAGATAGATCGATCGATCGATGATACTAGATAGATGATAGATGATGGATGGATGAATGGACGGACGGACAGATGGCTGAGTAGATGGATGGATAGATGACACCATAGATAGATGGATGGATGGATGGATGGATGGATGGATGGAAGAAAGGAAAGACAGATGAGAGATGGATGGATACTGTATAGAGATAGGTAGGTAGGTAGGCAGGCAGATAGACAGACAGACATGATAGATACAGATGAAAAGACATGATATAGATATAGATGAAAAGATGTGATAGATAGATAGATAGATAGATAGATAGATAGATAGATAGATAGATAGATAGATAGATAGATAGATGATACTAGATAGATGATAGATGGATGAATGGACGGACGCACAGAGAGATGGATGGACGGACGGACAGATGGCTGAGTAGATGGATGGATAGATGACACCACAGATAGATGGATGGATGGATGGATGGATGGAGGGAGGGAGGGAGGACTGTTTAAATATTCCCCAAAAATCTTCTCTCTAAAAAAATATTAATGATCATGAAACGCCTGTAATTCCTCTCTCACAGTTGGCACTGCAGCATTCAGAAATATTTCCGGAAGAGATTTACACCACCTTGTAAGAGATGTGTCCTTTGTTTCCAGAACCAAGGCAATATCCACTAGGTTGTTTAGGTAGCTCATACTTTCTTTCGATAGGCTGCTAAGGGAAAAATTCAGATCCTCCATTAAAAGTTCCTGCAGGAAGAGGCCTGGGGAAAGAAAGAGAAGACAGCAGGTGTTTTAAGGAAACATTACGGCACGGGTGTCAAACTCGCGGCTCACACGCCAATGCGTCACGCGCTGGCCACAGCCACCCCCATTTTAGCAAAGGAGAAAAAAAAAGTTGCGATCCGTCACATGATGACGTGACACCACAAGTTTGACACCCCTGCCTTTATGGCATAAACATGCTTGGTGTGAGACTGACACAATGACTCTAATCTAATTAGGGAGCCAGTTGGATGTAGGGCAGATAATCTCGGCTTACAAACATAACAGAGCCCAACATTTCTGTGGCTAAGCAAAACAGCCGTTACCTGAGTTGTCTGCCCCATTTTATGACCTTTCTCGCCACCGTTTGTTAAATGAGTCCCTGCAGTCGTTAAGTAACACAGTTGCTCATTGAATCTGGCTTCTCCACCGACTTTGCTTGTCAGTAGGTCACAAAAGGGGATCACATGACCCAGGGACACTCCAACTGTCGTTAAGTATGAGTCAGTTGCCAAGCCCCTGAATTTTGACCATGTGACCATGGGGAGGCTGCAATGGTCATAAGAGTGAAAAATGGTCATGTCACCTTTTCCAGTGCTGTTGTAACTTCGAACAGTCTTTGAATGAATGGTGATAAGCCGAGGAATAAGTAAAGGTTCCTCTCACACATATGGGCTCATCTCCGTTACAAAGCCGAAGAGCCAGCACTGTCCGAAGACCTCTCCGTGGCCATGTGTGGCCAGCATGACTAAACACTGAAGTGGTCATAAAATGGAGCCAATGTCATTTAACTGTTTCACTTATCAATGGCAATTCTGGGCTCCATTATGGTTATAAGTCAAAGACTACCTATATGCAATCCTTATCCTTTCTGTGCAATTCTGTACCATTATGTCCGGCTTCGTATGTTGTTTGATCCCAAGTAATTATGATTTTTTTCTTTCCTTGTGGGTTTCTGCAATTATAAATAAGACACAGCCTGGCTACATACGTAAGCCAATTTCTGCTTACCCATGTGACAAAAGGGATCAGCCACAAAAGCTGAGGTCAATGAAGTGTAAGATATTCTCTTGATAAGTTTTGTGAGTCTTATGTGTGTGGGAGAAGAGCAGGCAGAGCTAGAAGGCAGAGTTAAACGTGTCATCAGTTTGGAGTCATTGCATTGCCACAAGAGACCCAAGTCCAGCCCCCCTATCAATTACATTGATCCATTAAGGTAAAGGTTCCCCTCACACATCTGTGCTAGTCATTTCCGGCACTTGCTCTGTTACAAAGCCAAAGAGCCAGTGCTGTCTGATGACGTCTCCCTGGTCATGCAGCTGGCATGACTAAATGCCGAAGGCGCACGGAATGCTGTTCCCTTTCCACCAAAGGTGGTCCCTATTTTTCTACTTGCATTTTTACATGCTTTCGAACTGCTAAGTTGGAAGAAGCTGGGATGAGTAAAGGGAGCTCACTCCCTGACGTGGCGCTAGGGATTTGAACCGCCTTTCTGATCGACAAGCTCAGCGTCTTAGCCACTGAGCCACCACATCCCCAATAAGTCGAAGAATACCTGTAGTTAAAGCACTAGAAACCAAGTGGCTGTGAGTTCCAGTCCCACCTCAGGCATGAAAGCTGGCTAATTACTTCGCAGGAAAGTTGTTGCGGGGAAAATAGGATGCGGGAGAAATATTAGGCCCATCTATCCTTTCAATAAATATTGCTACTTATCAAAACAAGAAAGGCAGGGAATAAATTAATCTCACCATCTGACTCGTACTCCGCTGCTTTCTGCTTCATATCTTCAATTAACAAGTTGATGTCCCGATCTCTGGACTCATTGCATTCGGCCAGCCTATACAAAATATCCACCGTCTCTGCGTTCATTTCTAAAAGAGGAATCGGCCGCTCCCCAAAAACTTTCTTCAACCATGAAGTGACCTGTTAACAAAAGAAAAGAATGATGGTTTTTCTCCTACATTTTGCTTCTCAGGTATGAACACATTTCAAAAGGTGGATAGGCGTGACTGTAATATTTCAATGTCGTGACATTTTAGATTTTTTATTAATGTATTTATTTACATCCATCCTTTATTTCTCTTTTATCAACAATTCAAGGCACCAAACATACACAATACTCCTCCTTCCTTCTCTTTTCTCCACAACAACTTTGTGAGGGTGGATTGAGCAGATAGCAAGTAATTGGCCTAAAGTCACTCAGCTGGTTTTCATGCCTAAGGTAGAACTGGAACTCACAGTCTTTGTGATTGGCCCAAAATTACCCAGCCAGCTTTTATAATAATAGAGTTAGAAGGGACCTTGGAGGTCTTCTAGTCCAACTCCCTGCTTAAGCAGGATACTTTACCCCACTTCAGACAAATGATTATCCAACCTCTTCTTAAAAGCTTCCAGTGTTGGAGCATTTACAACTTCTGGAGGCAAGTTGTTCCACTGATTAATTGTTCTATCAGGAAATTTCTTATTCCCGGGGTTGCTTCTCTCCTTGATTAATTTCCACCCATTGCTTCTTGTCCTGCCTTCAGGTGCTTTGGAGAATAGCTTGACTCCCTCTTCTTTGTGGCAACCCTTGAGATACTGGAACACTGCTCTCATGTCACCCCTGGTCCTTCTTTTTATTATATTCAGTTCCAGCAACCATTTTTTCATGGCTAAGGCGGGACTAGAACTCACTGTCTCCTGGTGATTGGCCCAAAGTCACCCAGCTGCCTTTCATGGCTAATGCAGGACTAGAACTCAC